ACTCTTCCTCCGCCTCCAGTTGATCTGTCTGCAGACTGCTGCCGGGTTCCTCCTGCTCCTCTTTGACCTGTGGAGGTTTTGGCTCCTCCTGCTGGTGGCAGAGCAGCTGCTCGGCAGGAAGCTCCTCCTGTTGCAGATGAATGTGTTGCTGTGGAAAGTCTGACAGGGAAACGGTATAAATAAAGTTCAGAAAAACATCAACACAAACCTGTTTCATCACTCCCATTTTTATAAAAGCTGAATGTATTTGTGACAAACTTTTGGTAGAAAAGCAAACTACTGCCCTCTGCTGGTTAACTGGAAAACAAGCTTTAGGAAGTAGATTAAACTACTTCCTGTTTGGGGTTTAGCCAACCTAGCTTTAGCATCACAGTGAATAACTGTTGGAGCTTTAACCAAAACATTTAGTATGTTTAACTTTGAGATGCATAAAATAAAACATATGATCTTATGCTGACAGTTAAAGCAGCAGATCCTTCCTCCCACACAACAAAACTGCTTTTAGTTGCACATTTTTCTGTTTTTATGAAAATATATAGAGGCACATTTCCCTCTCTAAATAATCACAATCAGCTGCAAATTACTTTTATCTAATGCATTTTTACCTGTACAGTTTTATTAGTCTTATAGTGAATAATTGTCCTTGCAGTAAAGTCTGTCATTCTTGTATTTCAAAACACTTTTAAACTGTTATGTTATTCTCTACCTGACATTTCAGAGTAATGATTCATTTTTACAGTAGAAAATACAACAGGCCCATTTCATTTGCAGCCTGTTCAGTCTGAGGGTAAAGAAGCAGCTCATTGTCCCAGAATCACCTGATCATGCAGCGTCCTGTGTGTGTGTGGCCCTTTAAATCTGCCACTCATCTCTTCTGATAATGTCTGCAGCTGCTTTCACATTTAAACCTGGCTGCTTAAATGAACAAACCAGGATCCTCTGGGGTCACACCCTGCATTTATATAAAACTCCATACCTGCTGGTCGCTGAGGGATCTGTGTTTCCCAGCTCGTCTCCATCAACCTGCGCTGGCGGTCCAGCTCTTCTTCATACTGAATGACGGTTTTCTCAAAAACTCCGAAGATTTCCTCCGCAGCAGCAGCGAGCCGCTGCCTGATGAACTCTCTCACATTCAGCGCTGAACACATTGTTGTTCCTGACCGGAGAAACCCAACAAACTGTCCGCACAATGGAGCTACGAGCTACAAGCTACAAGCTAGCTTCTCATTGTTTACTTCCGCCTGGGGGTCAGAAGATCCGCACCATCTCAACGCCGGCGCACATGGAGGCGCCCTGGCTGGGTGGAGTCTGTGTCGAAAACTCGCCGCCTGCTTTTAAAAGCTGATTTGTCCAGATATGAGTCTTTCAGTTAAAGACACAAATGTCCAAAGTGCGGCCTGGGGGCCATTTGCGGCCCCTGGACTGATTTTTGTGCGAGAATCATACAAATATGACTCTCTGCAGCTGGTTAATGCAGAGGGAAATTTTAATTATACCCATTTTATTCATCCACTAACATAGTTTAGTTAGTTATCACAGGTATAAAATCTTGGAAAAAAGAAAATAGTGGATTTGCATTTTCTTTAGTTTCATCATAAACTGAATCATCTCTATCCAGTGACCTTTACTCAAAAGCAGATTTAAATGTTTTTAAATCATATTGTAATATTAGTCTTTAAACATATATAGAGTGTTCCATTAATTCTTTCTCACATGTTTGAGAAATCAAACTTGTTTTATGTATCATCTCAATTCTAATGTTTAGGAAACTTTCCACTTTTAATGCAGGAAACCATCAAGTGGAGGCCAAGATGGACACAATATCGCTGCAATATAAAAGCTCAGACTTTTTCATACCAAATCTGATTTTAATAATAGAAAAAAAATCTTAACTTTTGTTCGTTCAAAATAAATTACAATTAAAAGGACAAATTTAGGGTTAAACTTTGCTCTTATTTCACTCATCCATTTTGGGAGTTGAGTTCAAAGTCCAACTGAAGACAAACTGATGGCCACAATAACACAGTGAAGCCTAAACGATACAAAAATATTTCAATAATATTATTATTCACTGACTTATGACTGTCATAATTTTATTCTTGTATAATTTCAGCTTTATTTTTGTTAAATGACTTTATTCTCCATCTTATTGTTTCTTATTTCGGCTCCAACACTAAAGAACAGATCAGTGGAAATCTGAATTTGTGAAAATGAAACCTTCAGAAACAGAAAATCGGATTATTTGTCCAGTTCCAGGCTGAATCCTGTGGAGCTGATCAACAGACAACAGAGACAAATGGAAGTAAAACATGAACAGAAGCAGGAACGTCACCAGAACGACTCGGCTCACAAACAAATGCAGGAAGTGATTTTATTGGTGGAGCTGAGAAGTTTTCATGCAAACAGCGACGTGGAAGCAGAGTGTCGTCAGCGTTTTATTAGCAACCAGACAGAAGATCCAAAAGAACCAACCCAAGGAGAAACGGAGCAGTTTCTGTACAGGTCCAAATATTCTACAATATGTACTCTAATACAGCAGGAATACGGAGGAGCCGCGGGTCGGTGACAGCTGGAGGTTCTGATCCGAAGCATCCTTCCTGCTCCGGGTTCAACAACTTCAAAGTGCAGTTTTATATTTCTTCACTTCAACCAGGAGCAGAAAACTGAGTTGAGAGGCAGGGAAACTAAACAATGACACTTTAAAACGGATGATTTCTGAGTTTTAAAGAACAGAACCAGAACAAAACCAAAACAGAACCAGAACAGTTTCCAGTCAGCAGATGGAGAGAAACCTGATCACTGGCAGGTCTGTGAGTTTGTCCCTTTAAGAACAAACTCACAACTTCCACAAACGTTTAACTGTCTAAGAGTCCAGTGATTGAGCTTTCATCAAATTAAATAAAAACTGGAGTCCAGCCACTTCTGGCAGCAACCTCCTCATCACACAGCATCAGACTGCAGGAACTCAGTGTGAGATGAGATCAAGAAAACAAGTTTTATAGTTTATATGAGCAATAAAACCAGAGTGAGAAAAGAAAGAAAAACTTCATGTTGATGGTTTCAAACTTCAGCTGCAGAAACAAAAGATTCAAACTGAACTCGAAGCTTTTCAGGAGTTTTGATGAGAAAAGTCGGTTTGGAAACGTGTTTCCTGTAGGAACCTGGAGCCCAACCAGAACCTGAGATGAGACATAATCCAGGAGTTCATCCGGAACCGATCATTTGGACCTTTGGTGTTCTGGTTCTGGAGCCGTCCTGAACACCGGAGCCAGGTTCTGGAGGGGAAACGTTTGTTCTGATCGGTTCCTATTTGACGCTACAAAATCTGTCAAACGTCAGAAAAACTAAACCAAAAAAAAAAAAAAAAAACAGATTAAATGTTTCCCAACAAAACTTCTGAGCTTCCCAATTTGTTTATTTAGTTTTGTAATTTGGTGAAATATTGGCAAACGACAGAAACACACATAAGGAGCAACGTTAACCTGGTTTTCCTTTGGCTGCTGTTCAGTCAGAAGTTCAGGTGAACGTCGGTTGGATGGAAGGAACTTCTGCAGCTTTCAGAGCCCAGAAACATTAAAAATCAGGTTTGACAAGAAGCTTCAAACTCCAAACAATTCAAAAAATAAAAAAAACACCCACAAGAGAAATACATCACATCTTTTAAGGAAATTTGTTCTTTGAATCACCAGACTTTTTTAAATCTAAACTTGATTTATTTGACATATTTACTTAAATATCTTCAAAAAGAAGAATTGCACTGAGACTTTCTGTCCACCAGGGGGAGCCATTTCCCCTCTACCTTCACTGCTCATGTTTCCTTCAGGTTGTTTCTGATTTCTGATTTTGGCAACAGGAGCTTTGGCTTCAAACTGCTGTTAAATGTCTTCATGAAGACAAAAAGGTTAAAATTTGAGATTTTGAACTGCAGAAAAACAAACGTATTTATCTGTAAAAGTTGCTGCATAAACTGACCTCCAGGTCGCATCGTCAACCCGCTTCAGTCTGAATCCTCAAATTAAACTTCTCTAAAATGCAGATCAGAAAACGTTTCTCTCTTTGGCTTTTCACTGTTGGGACATTTTTACATTCAACAGACGAGTGACAAATTAAAGGAATACAAACTGCTGTAGAAAGTGACAGGAAGTGGGAGGATGTTGAGGTTGATCTGAGTTTAGACCTGCATGGAGGACGTGATGCGGTCAGTGTGGATCAACTGATCTGTTTTAAAGAACTTCCTGGATCAAAGCCGAATCTGTCGACCTACAATAAACGTTCCTCAGCTGGAAACGGCCTCTGATCAGAACTCTGTCTGCCAAATTTTAGAAATATTTACTTCAAAATTGAGATCAAAAACAACAGACCAAACAAGAAAAGAAGAAACGATCTGAAGAGTTTGACTTTGTGAGTTTCAGTGAGAAAAACCAGGAAGAGCGTCAGAGTTCAAAACTCAGAGGTTCAGAATCCAATATGGCTTCCGTGCATAAAACGCAGCTGAAGTTGTACGTAGAACTATTATTATTAACACTTAATGTTTTATGAAGCAAGTGGTTCACACTGCTGTACAACTTGTGAAACATCCCTGTAGTGTTTAGTGACTCACTCAGAGCTGCATCACAGCCGAAACCAGAAACCAGATCCGTTTCCAACTGAGAACGGATTCCGACACGAGAACCGAGAAAGAACGAATCCACATCTCAACTCATTCAGGAGAAACTTTCAGTCTGTGTTTTCCTTTAATTTGTCACTCGCCTGCGTCTCTAACAGTCGGCAGACCTGAAGCTCACTTTGGGTTGAACCCTGTAAACCTCTGCAGGAGCTGCTTCCTGCCTGCAGGGGGCGCAGTGTGACGCTGCAGGAGTCCAGCCAAAGCAGGTGTCGGTGATGAAGGCAGCAGAGTTGAACAATGGAAGCGATTATGGCGGGCGTCTCCTCTGTGGGCCAATTTTCACTTCCTGTGCAGACAGGAAGTGTCCGTTCTTTAATCTGACCGGGTTCTTCGGTGCAGGTTTAAAGCAGGAGGGATTCAGAAGGCTGGAGATACAATCCGGTCAGCTTCCAGGCAACTGGGAACACTGGGAGCCGTCGCTGAGGAAGAGTCACCAGCTGAGGGAAAGTTCTCCTGAAGGAGGAAATAAATCCGTTTGCTCTGGATTTACTTCCTGCCTCTGAGGTGAGACAGTTGGCGGAGTGACGATGCGCCGCAGACGGACCGTCTCCGTGTCTCAGCTCGGTGACGGTTGCTGCGGCAGCAGCAGGGCGGTCGCTTCGCTCCTCAGTCATGCAGTAAAGACGACGCGACGTAATGAAGACCTAAGCTTTGGGGTCCGGCCTGCGGCGCGGCAGCAGGCGGCGGTCAGGGGGCGCGGGTGGCGCGGCGGCGCCATCAGGAGTGGTCCATGGGTTCGTTGCCCTGCCCAGCATCCTGGCTCTCCATGTCCTCCGGCTCCTCCGGTTTTCCCGCCGCTGCGGCCGCGGCGCCGGGTTTATCCCAGCAGTTCGCTCCTGGCTGGCCCCGCCCACGGCGCCTGCAGCACTCTGCTGCTCCTTCAGGTGGCGCTCCATGGAGGCCTGGATGGAGGACACCATCTCCTGCAGCTTGCGGCGCTGCTGCTCCATCAGACCCGGGTCGGGAGCCGCGCGGCCGTCCCTGCTGGCCACGAAGCCCGGCGCCATGCGGACCAGCTCTCTGGTGGCGTCCTCGGGAATGTCCGACAGGTCCGGCGCTCCTCTCGACACGCTGGCGCTCAGGTCCACGCCGCTGCTGTGCTGGCGCGTGATTGGCCGGTGCTCCGGAGGGGAGGAGCCTCCGCCGCTCCCTAGGGAGTGACCTTTGCCCTGGAAGGCGGTGACGCTCTGCAGCTGCTCCTTCTTGCGGACGACGCCGCCGCTGCCCAGCCGCAGGACGCCGTGGGACGGGCTGCCCTCTCTGCTGCCCCTAGAGGCCGCCTCGGAGCGCAGCTGCAGCACCGCCTCCCTCACCAGCTCCTCCACGTCCGGCCCGACCGGGAAGTGACCCGCGGCGTCAACGCAGAGCTCCAGCCGCTCCTCCGCCGCGTTGTACACGAAGGTTTTCCCCGTCAGGTGAGGCAGCGTGCAATGCTTCCCGTCCATGAGGCCTGGAGAAACAGAAACACAGAACCGCTCAGCA